TGGTGGCTTTACCTGTTGCTTGTTTGGGGAAAGGCCTATGTGAGGCTTGTGGTCATGTCTACACAAGTGAGAACATACTTGCACCCTTCACTGACTGGTAGAGGTACCATATAACCCATTTGCCAGTCCTTTACAGGGCAGGCTGACTCATGCATGAATCCCATCATAGACGAGATACACTGTTTTTCACAGCAACTGATGTGAGGCCCATAACGGATTCCACCTGGTGCATATACCATCAGCAACTGCTGTTCTAGGGCCCCTATTGTTAACTACTAGGGAGGTGACCCACCACCAGCACTAGGATTCTCAGCACCCTTATGGCTTCTGGGTGCCTCAGTTTCTATTCTCTTTAGCATGTGTAGACTTTTCCCAACTACATTGATGGGTATCACTTATGCTATACCCAGCAAAGCTCTAAAGAATTTCACAGCTGCATCTGGCCCTTGTGAACTGATTTCTTATTCTTCCTCCTTCAAGCTCTCAAATTGTTGTCCAAATCTGCAAAGCACTCAGAAGTTAACATTATGTCATCTACATAATGAAAGGTTTTTCCAGAGGACAGGCAGAACAACAGTGAGCATCCTGAACCACCATGCCATAACGAATGGTGGGGTTACAAAGATAACCTCGGTGAAGCACTCCGAAACTCTGTTGTCCTCTGTTCGGATCAAGTGTCAGGTGATAAAAGTTGGAAACTAAGAAATACTAAATCAAACATAAAGAAGGTCTAATGCAGCATGGGTTCAACAACATGGCTAGGAGGCACTGACTTAGTTAGCTCTCCACAATCTTTAGTCATTTTCTCCAAGCCATTCCACTTCTGTATCCTGAGTTCTTCCATGGAGCTTCTCTGCATTTCTCCATCCCTGATGGACTCCTTGGGGCTGGCTCAAGCTGCTTAGTCCTGCCCAGGGTCAAGGGAGAATGAGGCTGTGCTCTCCTCTGCTGCACCTGCTGGTTCCCAAGAGGCTCTGGTTTGGACCCATGGCTTCAGCAGCAGCTGTTGCCTCTCCATCAACCACACTCTGCTGGGGGAGGCCCTGGCTGGGCAAACTGCCTCCACCCTCCAGTATAACCTTTTGCAGGAAGGGAATGTACCCTTTTTAGTCTGGGGGATCATTACCCACCCCTGGGACAGGCTTGATCTGCTGTACCTGTATTGTTTTATGATGAATGGCTTCTGTGACTTGCTCATCAGGCTTTAAAGTTTTCCAGAAGCTCCTTAGCAAAGAATTTGGCTATATGCCAGATTTTTTTTTAGGAATTTGAGCTCAACATAAATCTTACCACATTTGCTTCCCAGTAACCCAAACAGACCTCATCCTCTGCTTTGACTTTTTCCCATCTCCTCTAGATTGCTCTACCACTTTATGGACACATTTTACATGTTGGTCTAAGTCACTTAGATCTGACAAAACCTCTCCTACTTCATAAAGATGCTGCCCTACCAAGGGACTCAGCAAAGCCAGTAAAGCTCCATATCACTCTTGAGGTCCCTGATGAATCAAGTTCTTTAAGTCTCTGTTGAACACAATGTTGTATGGTCCAGTGAACTAGGTGTCATACACCGCTTTCTTCATACCTAGTTCCCCCAGCAGTGCCTGTTCCTCCTCTATTGCCCTCCAGCCCCTGATATCCATGGGGACCTTCCCAGGTGATGATTAAGCATCTCTAATGTTTCATACAAGTCAGTCCATCAGGGGCTGATTCCCCTCACACTGCCTCAGGTTATTCATCCTGAGTCTCAAGGAGGGATGGGTGGGTTATATTGCTCATTTTCTCTGCTTCCCCAAAACGCAGATTGATCCCATCCGCCCCCATATCCCATGGCCTCATAAGCCAGGCTGTGAGAGATTCTTTCAAAGCTTATTTAAAGCTTTTCTCTAAATCCAGAAATTCCAGCGCCGAATATTCTCTGATTACCATGGTTTCTTACACAGGACCATTGTTAAAAATACCCATCTTCATTCTGAGTCAGGATTTTCCCCTTCTCTGTACCAAAGATCGGACCCAAGGAGTATCTCTTGTCACCTCTCTTTTCCTCTCTTCCTCTTAACTACCTGACTTCTCCCACAGATCTCAGGTTTTGTGGTTCTAGAAAGGGCTCATTAATACAGATCTGATTTGTGTTTTCTTTACCCTTTGCCTCCCAGGTTTGAGAAGCAGCAAGGCAAGCATCATCTCACCCTCTCTTTTAGTCAGTTTATCTGGTAGATTGGAGGCCAATTCAGAGGATTTCAGCCTCATGCTCTTCTGGTTGCAGTTCATACCTTATCCCACAGTCTCCCTCTGGGATGCCACCTTGCCTTACGTCTCTTTGACCCACAGCAGCAGCCAGGCTTCCTCTGCAGCTACTTGTTGATACCCCCATCCTTCATGCACTACTCCCAGGGCTTGTAATGTCTGCTCTAGACCTTCAGCTGTTCCCAAAGCATCTCCATATTCCCACGGTGGACCCCACCCATCAAGCAGGTGTGCCACTCCATACCACCTAGATGAAGACTGCCACCCTGAGATTTGTCCCCTTGACATCCTCTGCCAGGTGGCTTCACCTTAGTTGCATGTCTCACTGCCTGCTCCTCTGCCCATGCCACCACACTGATACCCCCACAAACCCTATGGGGATCGCCTGCCATGTCAAAATTTCCTCTGCAAGAACCCCCACCAGCTTTGCTTCCATCATTTGTCTCAGTCCCCAAATCAGGGACACCACCATTGCTGTTCCCAAGCTCATCCTTGGTTTTGTCTTATCCTGCCAACTATACCATGTGTTGTTAAAACTCCTTCCCTGAGCGAGAGATGTGAACAACCTCCAACTCCCTCCTCCCAAGGTCCTAACAACAAACTGAAGAATTCCACCAAAGTGCACTCTGGGAGACCAATAAGTTTATTGGGCTTACTTACAGAGCAATGGGTCGGGGTTACTTACAGGAATGTAGGTGCTACCCCTGTAAGGCCCCACTGGAAAGTCTTCACCCAAGCATAGATGATGGTTTCCCCATAGCCACACAAATGGAAGCCCTCCCATTATCTTCCCCAGCCTATATACTCTAGCCTTTTCCCCAGGCTACTTGCAATTAGAACCGTATTGCCCCCCGACTGGTTGGATGGTGTGGTTGAATACTCAGGTGAGGGTCCTGTGACTCTTCCTGTCCCTCCTTCTATGGTGGGGGGAATGAACAGTCAACAAGCCCAGCTGTGATGACCTTTGGCAAGTGTGAATACAGATGAGCTCAGGAAGATGGTGTGTGACTAAGAGGATAGTGCTACACAACAGTTGTACTCTAGCCTTTTCCCCAGGCTACTTGCAATTAGAACCGTATTGCACCCCACTGGTTGGATGGTGTGGTTGAATACTCAGGTGAGGGTCCTGTGACTCTTCCTGTCCCTCCTTCTATGGGGGGTTGGAATGAACAGTCAACAAGCCCAGCTGTGATGATCTTTGGCAAGTGTGAATACAAATGAGCTCAGGAAGATGGTGTGTGACTAAGAGGATAGTGCTACACAACAGTTTCATGAGAAAGAGGTGATCTGTTTAGGATCACGAAGCAATGGCTTCCATGAATTTTATTTATCATGTGCAGTACAAGGATCTGGCAGTTTTCCCCCCATGGTTTGTGAGGCATCCCTGCCGTGTACCTCATGCCTGTGTCTGCATGGATCCTTTTCTTGAATCCATGTTTGCTATTACTTACCTGTGGTCAAGGGCGAGGTAGTCTTCAGGCATGGAGGATGGGGAATGAGGAGTGAGGGAAATTTTGTGTATTTTGGTGTGGTGGCTTGAATGAGAAATGTCCCCCATAGGCTCCAAGTATTTGAACATTTTTGTCCCAGTTGGTGGCAGTGTTTAGGGAGGTCTTAAAAAGGTATGGCTCTCCTGCTTGGTGTGGTGGTTTGAATGAGAAATGTTCCCCATAGGCTCCAAGTATTTGAACATTTTTATCCCAGTTGGTGGCAGTGTTTAGGGAGGTCTTAAAAAGGTATGGCTCTCCTGTGTAGAGCCTAGCTTCCGCTCCTCCTCCAGCTCTCTGCCACCATGCCTCCCTGCCACGACAGACTGTAATTCCCCTGGAACCATAAGCTCAAATAAACTCTTCCTTCTTTCAATTGTTTTGGTCAGTGTTTCTATCATAGCAACAGAAAAGTAACTAATACACTTGGCTAAACCCACCCTTGGTGAGTACAGAGCACAGACTTCCTGGCTCCGTATATACCTCAAAATGTGCTTATCCAGGCCCCTGACAACCTGAATATAATCCTTAGAACCCACAAAAAGGTGGAAGGATAGAACCAACTCCACAAAGTTGTCCACTGACCTCCGTACACGCTTCACAGCATGCACTCCCCTTCATGCTTGTGCAATAATAATAAATAAATAAATTTAGCTGTGCCTATCCATGTCTTCAGAGATAATCAGAGTTATTGAAGTTAACTGACAGGACTCAGTAGCCAGTTGCAGTTCTGATTTGGTTGTGTAGAGAGAGGGCTTTGTCTAGGACAGTCCTTGTATTTATGGTTCACTCAATCAGTTCTGCAAAAGTAACTGTGAGAAATGTTCATGAACCTTCTCAGCTATAAAAATGCTGTCATCGGATCTAACACCTTAGGAGAATTTCTCAAATAACTAATACAACCTATAGAAATATCTAGTCACAGTGAAGCAGGGTGTGATAATAAATGGTTTATTTCTTTAGACTGTAACACTCATCACAAATTGCATGTTTTAAGACTCAACATTGACAGTGTACACAGATATTGCCTTTTAACTATAGCAGAGTGTCAAGGAACTTAATCTCAGGGTGTAAATTTTTCAGAGTGCATAGTTTCACAGACAGACCTCTAATAGGTTCCCCAAATGTCTGTGGCAGGCATGAAAGCTTAAGCAGACCCCCCCAAATGACCCCACCCTTCTTCCTCAGACTGCAGAGAACCAGTCAAGTTCTTGCCTCCTGGCCTTCTTCCGACACTCATATCCACAAACTTCAGGCAGGAGAAGACTATAACTCATCTGGAAAAAGCAGCTGGACCAGGAGACCAGGCAGCAGTAGCAGCAGGAGCAGCACAGGGATTCCTAGGGTTCCTAAAGATGGGCAGAGAAAGAAGGGTTTCCATATGGGGTTTCTCAAGACAGGGACCTTGCAAACTTTCAGACTTTCGCCTTTAGCTCAGAACCCAGGAGAGGGCCCTAGGGGCTTAGTATGCCTAGCTAGACTCTCCTCTTGCTTTCCCAGGATTCCTGATACTCAAATACCAGAAAGATGAGCACACTGATGGTCTCTCGGACACTTACCAGGATTTTGTGCTCCAAGATATTGTGCCTGAGTGAGAAAAGCCTTTCCCATCTGGAGCCTTCCCTGGTCTTTGTGGGGAGCCCTGTAGGCTTGTTCTCTACTGAAGAGGAGGTTTCTGGATTTGAACTTTTTGGAAGTTTATCTTTCCAGCAACATATATTCTCCTTTTTATGCTGACTGGTGTGAACTGGAGTTCACCCGCCCATCTCAGCATGGCAGAAGCTGAACAGCAACCATTTGGTGCAGGTGGTGGGCAGCATCTTTTCTGTTATACTGTTTACCTGGGTGGGCATCATGCTTTCACTGGGCTTGATCCAATTAAAATGTTCTCCATGTAAAGGCTTAAAGTCCCTGTGACCACTTTTGTGGTCCCATCTCTATTTCTGAAGACCCGTATTTCCAGAACTCCTTCAAAGCATAAAAACTAATTTGACCTAAATTTACTTGGTACTCAGCAGTCCCCCTGCAGGTCAGATCCATTTCAGGTTGGCCCTTTGGCCTCTCAATCAAACCTAACTTACTAAAACAACATATAGAAAAGCCGTGGTTTAAGCCAGTCATTAGGCAGAACCCAAGTGCTGGTCAATAGGGAAACAAAGTCCCTAGACTATAAGCAAGTGATTATCATACAGTGGTGAGCTACATACATAATGAGTTGGGATCTGATGACTGAGAGGTGTACAAGGTTCTCCATGGTTTTTTAAAAAAGTATTTGTTCAACAATGTCTATGTGCCAAGTAATAGGTCTTTTTAAAAAAATATGTTTAAGCCAGTCATTAGGCAGAACCCAAGTGCTGGTCAATAGGGAAACAAAGTCCTTAGGCTATAAGCAAGTGATTATCATACAGTGGTGAGCTACATACATAATGAGTTGGGATCTGATGACTGAGAGGTGTACAAGGTTCTCCATGGTTTTTTAAAAAAGTATTTGTTCAACAATGTCTATGTGCCAAGTAATAGGTCTTTTTAAAAAAATTTATTATTTTTATTTTATGTGTATGAGTGTGTTGCCTGCATGTATGTGAATGCACCTGTATTGTACAATGCCTCAGAGGTCAGAAGAGGGTTTTGGATTCCCCTGGAAATGGAGTTAAGGACGGTTTGTAGCCATCGTTTGGGTGCTGGAAATTGAAGCCGGGTCCTCTGCAAGAGCAGTCAGTGCTCTTAACCGCTGAGCCATCTCTCCAGCCCTGAGAAAATAGGTCTTAAGTGCCTCTTTTTAATCCTCAAAGCAATACTACTATA